GGCTACAGCATATACCACTAGACGCCACAATACACCAGGCTACAGCATATACCACTAGACGCTGTATAGACTCAGGCCACAATACACCAGACTACAACATATACCACTAGACCAGGCGTCTCCAAACTACGGCCCGCGGGCCGAATGCGGCCCGCGAAGTCCTCTCATCCGGCCCGCTGAGATATTTTTGTCCAAGGAAAAATCGTTTGTTAGTGATGGCTGAGGAACTTTGCCCAGAAAAATCAAAGATATGCCTGGAAGAAACTGGCCCCCGAACTGAAATTTTATAGTTAATGCGGCCCTCAGACTGAAACGTTTGGAGACCCCTGCAGACTACAATATATACCACTAGACTGTAGCTTATACCATCAGACTACAACTTATACCACTAGACTGTAGCTTATACCATCAGACTACAACTTATACCACTAGACTGTAGCTTATACCATCAGACTACAACTTATACCAATAAACGTTGTATAGACTCAGGCCACAAAATGTAGAGCTTGCAAACATGTAGGTGGCCGTGCTGTGTCGGATGGTGGTGATGTTACATTATTAATCAAATCTATAAAAGAATAAGAGCGAATGTGAAGAAAAAAATCAGATGAATCCGTTCTTATCTCCAAAATATCACCTCAGTTGTTTTTCTTGCGTGTTTTTGAATAAGAAAAGAACATTCATAAATGACAAAAGTTGTATAAAAACATAAAAGAGAACGTAAAATAAAGTGGGATTGATCTCCCCTAAACTTTCTCGAATATTCTTACATAACATTACGGAGGATGGCAACTCTGGATAGAAACATGATTTTTAGACAGTTTTTACATACTTAGATTTTTGAGACTAGAATAGAATCTCATACAAAAAAGAATTGCGCACCAAGTGAACGGCAAACAATATACAATACACTAAATACGCAACAAAAGTTTAGGCTGCTATGTACATTGTCTTACTGTATTTTAACGTGTTATTGTTATCATCCATAATGCTTATAAAATTTACAAATATGCTACCAAAGAAATCACCACGCACATTAACAAACACCCAAATTTTAGAAATATCAACAATTAAATCAAAATATTTCGTAAAAGATTTTTTGTGACTTTTTTACTTTCTCGTATATACGTAGTATAGAGAAAGTATTGTAATCGTGCAAAAAAAAAATCGAGATTTTTACAAATCTCGACGTTTTACACCTCACTGATACGGAAAAACATAATTTTGCAATCTTGTCCGTATGTCTGTGTGTGTGTGTGTCTGTGTGTGTGTCTGTGTGTCCGTGTGTAAACACGATAACTTGAGTACCGTTACAGCTAGGTTGATGAAATTTCATATATAAGTATTATATCAAAATCGTAGATCCGTATCAACTTTTGAGCTATTTCCGACAACCGGAAGTGGTACTTTTTTTTTAATTATAAAAGAAATTTAGGCACATTTAGCCGTAGGTTATTCTCTGGTCGGCCTCTCCTCAGTAGGCATTGTCCGAACATATTTTGTGTTGTGGACGGTTTGTGTCAATGACAGTCTTTGAACCTTGTCGGCTTTCTGTTTTGATCCTAGGTTTTGTTATGTAATGAGCGTGATAAATGTGGGCAGTAAAGGTAGTTGAACTAAACATAACTATTGTTGCCATGAGTTGAGGGCAGCAAGTCAGATGAACTTACCATTTCATGGTAATTTAATATTGGTATTTTAAAAAAAAACACGACGAAAAACGTGGACTTTGGAGCATTCTATTAAATGGTACTAATCTAAAGTTTAAAATAATCTACGTACTTTATAATAAATATTTTTAGATGAATTATTAAAATTCCTATGTGTATACAGCCTACACACATTACATTACATTTAATTAATCCTAAGTTAATTTACACTCTCTAAATATTTAATACATAAAATTATTAAGAAATATAATGCAAATATATATTTGTGACTTTTTTCCTGTGACTTTTTTTCCTACTCTTCTTCTTCGTTCTTAATTATTAGTGTTGAAGGGGATCGAGATTTATCTGCCAGTGCGTTTGAACTCGAGACTTTGTTCGAATTTATCAACCATGAGCTTTTTTGCCGACTCGACCACGCCTCCAACACAATTAAGGATTACGTGTCAACTGGTTATGCGCCATTGAGGCCATTGACACCGATTTCAGCCTGCTTTTCTTTTTGGATTTGCTTCCATAGCCTTTGTCCAACCAAGAACAAACTACAAGGCAGCAGTTGTTTAATTTTGGAGTTTTCTCTCCTAGAAGAGTGGCTGTCCCCAGCTAACGAGCCTCATCTGCCCGGGGGTTCGAACTCGAGACTTTTTCGGTTTAGCAAACATGAGCTTTACCGACTCGACCACGCCGACCCCTTTTTTTTTCCTACAATCAGTTAGAAAAGCCGGAAATTTTGCTCGAGCGTTTTATCTATGACGACAGACAGGTGAGTCAGTATGTTGTTAATCCTTGTGTGTGGGTAGGGGGTGGGGGTGGGGAGGGGTTCTTCCCCAAGGTCGGCACCGTCACAAAGGCTTCCTCACCGACACTGCTTGTATCGGCGTCCTACACAAGCGATATACCCAGTGTATCGGCGTCCTACATAAGCGATATACCCAGTGTTTCTTTCAGACTTTTATCTCCGGGGGGGGGGGGGGGGGGGGGGATACTTGATATTTTCGAGAGGGGGGGGGGGCGTTCAACATTTGGTGAACAAAAAAAAGTAAAAAAAAAACACAGACAAAAAATCACAGTTTTTGCTAGGAAAAAAGTCACAGAAACAAAATGGAAAAATTTTATCGGAAAAAAGTCACAGAAAAAAAGTCACAAAAATATTTGCAGACATATTTTGATTTATTTGTTTAGAATTGTAAAATGTTGTATGTTTATTGTTGTGAGTTTTGTTATTTCATAGCATAAATTTGTTAGACGTTAAAAGCATTATGGTTTATAACAACTTAAAGTAAAAAAAAAAAATAATTTACACAATTATCTCAACTTTTGTTAGGTATTTAGTTAAATATGCGGCAGAAAAGTTAATTATAAAAGAAATTTAGGCACATTGTGTTTTGCATATGTTTAGCCGCAGGCTATTCTCTGGTCGGCCTCTCCTCAGTAGGCCTTGTCCGAACATATTGTGTGTTGTTGACGTTATGCGTCAATGACAGCCTTTGAACCTTGTCGGCTTTCTGTTTTGATCATATGCTTTGATATGTAATGAGCGTGATAAATATGGGCAGTAAAGACGGTTGAACTAAGCATAACTATTGTTGCGATGAGTTGAGGGCAGACGAAATTATCATTTCACGGTATTTTAATGTTGGTATTTAAAAAAAAAACACGCTGAAAACCGAGGACGTTGAAACATTCTATTAAATGCTATTAATATTATGTTTTACATAAGTACAATCTACATACTTCATACTAAATATTTTTAAATGAATTTTAAAAATTACCATGTTTATACAACCTACACACATTACATTACATTTAATTAATCCTAAGTTAATTTGCACTCTCTGAATATTTAATACATAAAAGTATTAGCAAATTCCATGCAAATATATATATGTGACTTTTTTCCTGTGACTTTTTTTCCTACAACCCAACATTTTCCGGGAGGAGGGGGGGGGGGGCGGTCACTAGTAAAAGTATATGTTTACTATATAAATTCCATCTTGTTTGGGCGGGAAGTGCGGTAGACTATCTTTCCCCCCCCCCCCCCCCGAAAAGATGCCTGGAAGAAACTCTGGATATACAAACGATATACTAGCAATATATCAGCGATATACCAGCAATATATCAGCGATATACCAGCAATATATCAGCGATATACCAGCAATATATCAGCGATATACCAGCAATATATCAGCGATATACCAGCATTATAGTAGCGATATACCAGCAATATATCAGCGATATACCAGCAATATATCAGCGATATACCAGCAATATATCAGCGATATACCAGCAATATAGTAGCGATATACCAGCAATATATCAGCGATATACCAGCAATATATCAGCGATATACCAGCAATATATCAGCGATATACCAGCAATATATCAGCGATATACCAGCAATATATCAGCGATATACCAGCAATATAGTAGCGATATACCAGCAATATATCAGCGATATACCAGCAATATATCAGCGATATACCAGCAATATATCAGCGATATACCAGCAATATATCAGCGATATACCAGCAATATATCAGCGATATACCAGCAATATATCAGCGATATACCAGCAATATATCAGCGATATACCAGCAATATATCAGCGATATACCAGCAATATATCAGCGATATACCGCAATATATCAGCGATATACCAGCAATATACCAATGATATGCTGCCTATATAATATCAATTAACCAGCACAATACCAGCGATATACCAGCAATATATCAGCGATATACCAGCAATATACCAGCGATATACCAGCAATATACCAGCGATATACCAATGATATGCTGCCTATATACTATCAATTAACCAGCACAATACCAGCAATATATCAGCGATATACCAGCAATATACCAGCGATATACCAATGATATGCTGCCTATATACTATCAATCAACCAGCACAATACCAGCGATATACCAATGATATGCTGCCTATATACTATCAATTAACCAGCACAATACCAGCATTATAGGCTTACCGGTAATATCAAATAACTTTACCAATACTTTATTATCGTGAATGTTTTTACACGTGTGAATTTGTGAATAGAAATCAAATAAAACGAAGATTAACAATGACAACTTTGGCGCCGTAGTTTTGTCTAGAGACTGACGTCACAAATTGTACTTGGAGATCGACCGGAAATATCCGGCTACTGCAGCTGGCAATCAAAACAAAATTCTAATGAGCTGCCACAGCCACGTGCCGGCTCGTGTTTACGCCCAGTTGACATCTGTAAGCCCCGCCTTATTTCCAAATCACTGCGCGGGCTACGAGTGGACTACATTTCCAGACAAAGGGAGAGAATAAAGAAGTCTTCATTTCCGGTACGTCGCAGACGACGATATTAAACTCCGGCGCTCGTTTTCCTCGTCTGCCCCCGGGGGCTGGATGGACGCTCGTCGCCTCTCTTTCTCTGCCTCCCTTTCTCTGCCTCCCTTTCTCTGCCTCCCTTTCTCTGCCTCCCTTTCTCTGCCTCCCTTTCTCTGCCTCCCTTTCTCTGCCTCTCTTTCTCTGCCTCTCTTTCTCTGCCTCCCTTTGTCTGCCTCCCTTTCTCTGCCTCTCTTTCTCTGCCTCTCTTTCTCTGCCTCCCTTTCTCTGCCTCTCTTTCTCTGCCTCCCTTTCTCTGCCTCTCTTTCTCTGCCTCCCTTTCTCTGCCTCTCTTTCTCTGCCTCCCTTTCTCTGCCTCTCTTTCTCTGCCTCCCTTTCTCTGCCTCCCTTTCTCTGCCTCCCTTTCTCTGCCTCCCTTTGTCTGCCTCCCTTTCTCTGCCTCTCTTTCTCTGCCTCTCTTTCTCTGCCTCCCTTTCTCTGCCTCTCTTTCTCTGCCTCCCTTTCTCTGCCTCTCTTTCTCTGCCTCCCTTTCTCTGCCTCTCTTTCTCTGCCTCCCTTTCTCTGCCTCTCTTTCTCTGCCTCCCTTTCTCTGCCTCCCTTTCTCTGCCTCCCTTTTTCTGCCTCCCTTTCTCCGCCTTTTCGTTCTCCCCCCCCCCCCCCCCCCCCCACCTCTCCTTCAGCGTCGAGTAGAGAAAGTTTTGACGTCACAAGTCGTGATCTTCCAGTACCTCAGCACCTATTCGAATCCCCGCCCTCAAAATGTTGACAGTCCTTTTCCAAACACTCCTTTCTCCTCTCATCCCCCACACACCATCCCCCTTCACACACCCTCATACACACCCGCCACACCCTCACACACTCCCACCACACCCTCACACACTCCCCCACACCCTCATACACTCCCCCACACCCCACACCCTCATACACTCCCCCACACCCCCACACCCTCATACACACCCTCATACACTCCCCACACCCTCACTCACCATGGACAACCTCCACTACCAACCCGCCACGAAACAGTTTAATAACGAAACAAAAAACTAGAACATGTTCATAACGCCGCCATTAAAACTATTTTTCCCACAATTCATTTCATCTACTTCCGGTCATGTGTAAATAGCGATATTGTCTGACGCCATCCCCTGTTGTATCACGTGACCACGTTGCCGTGCACGTAAAAATTATTTTTTTTCTCACACGTGGGGTGGGGTGGGGGGGGGTGAAATATTTTCTCTTCAAATGGCTCCTTTTAATTGAATTCATTAATTTTTTATTTGTAGATAGGGGATTGAAAATGTTTGAAAAAAAATTAGTTTCAAGTATAGCTGACCATATATCTAACCTATAGAGCTGACCCACATAATTGACCCAGATAGTTGATCCACATAGCTGACCCACATAGCCGACCCACATAGATGACCCACATAGTTGACCATATGCCTGTCACATATAGCTGACCAATATAGCTTACCATTCAGCTGACCACATGGATGACCCATATAACTGACCCATATAAGTGACCTATGTACATGACCCCTATAACTGACCCATACAACTGCCCCATATAACTGACTCATATATGTGACCCAAATACTATACATCTGAAAACACATCTGAAAATTAAGCTCAACATATATACACATTCAGCTTAATATAAAACTTTAATATATAATATACAACATAACCATACTTGAATATACGCCTTAAACATACATCTGTATATACAGAACATTGTTCGTGGAAAATGGATATTTTTAGCTACTACAAAAATGATACATCTAGCTTGTGGCTCCAGCCTAATTTGAAATCTATTATATTATCCATTATATTATCTATTCTATTTTAAAAGGCGAAATTGTAAATTGGCTTCATTGAAATATTTTAAAATCTGATTTTATTTGCATTATTTTAATGGAATTTTTCAGATATATTTTTGTCCAAATTTCAGGTATGATTTTAAAAAAGAGTTAATTGTTCATTAAATGTGTGCGTGAGTGTGAGTGTATAGATGTGTGTATGTGTTTGTGTGTATATGTGAGTATGTGTGTGTATGTATGCATGTATTTATGTATGTATGTATGTATGTATGTATGTATGTATGTATGTATGTATGTATGTATGTATGTATGTATGTATGTATGTATGTATGTATGTATGTGTGTGTGTTATCCTTTCAATAGCCGACACAAGACCAACGCCTTTTCTAGCCGTATCCTCCCCCCTCCCCCTCCCCTCCCACGAATCGCCTGTAATTAATTTAAATCACTTCTATTTGACGAACTATTTGACGAACTAGATCAAATTTGTTTGTCAGCGTGAAAATTAAACGTCACGGCAAAAAAAAAAATTGTTTACAAATCAATTTTGCTTTAAGACATCACGTTGGCATTTTTATATCTCCGCCATTTTGTTCGTTGTGTTTTGTTGATGTGTTCTATAGTTTATTTAGTTGATGTGTTCTATAGTTTGTTGGTGTGTTCTAAAGTTTATTTTGTTGATGTGTTCTATAGTTTGTTGATGTGTTCTATAGTTTGTTGATGTGTTCTATAGTTTATTTTGTTGATGTGTTCTATAGTTTGTTGATGTTTTCTATAGTTTATTTTGTTGATGTGTTCTATAGTTTATTTTGTTGATGTGTTCTATAGTTTGTTGATGTGTTCTATAGTTTATTTTGTTGATGTGTTCTATAGTTTGTTGATGTGTTCTATAGTTTAGACTAAACCTAACACTAACCTTTAGACCTAAGGTTGGGGTGTCTAGTGGTGTTTTGACGTCATATGGTGTCTGATGGTGTAGGATGTTGCTTGATGGTGTTTGATGTTGAACCAAAATGCGTGTATAATAGTGAGGTAAATAATACTTTATATATTAAATTTTGATTAATTCATAAAAAAATGAATATAGCATCCACTTAACTCAAATATGAAGTCAGACTGCATTGTCATCGGGTCTTGACCCACGCGCCTAGTTTGAAACGATTCGGTCAGTTAGAAGTCAAAACACGTCTTTAAAATTATCTTCTTAATTCTGTCTCGTTACATTAAGGTTTGAGTCAGGGGCGTAGTGGGGGGGGGGGGGGGGGGGGGCGGGGGGTGCGGATCGCACCGGGTGACACCATTTAGGGGGGGTGACACCAAGGCAAAAAATAGCAAAATATATAGAGAAAAACTTGAGGGGGGGGGTGCAAATCGAAAGTTTGAGAGGGGGGGATGCACCGGATGACACCCGACCTCGCTACGCCACTGGTTTGAGTTAAAAATAGAAAGAAAACGGATGCTCTTCATCATTCCTAATTTTGTTTTGACCTCACTTCGTATAATCTCACGTTAATTTCACTTTGTGATGACCTTGGCCCCCAGAAGCCAACTAGTGACGTCACTAGAAGTGGAATCTCTAGCAGACGATTGTGACGTGGCCAGACTCTCCGGCTGGCCATCTCCAAACTGAAAAGGCCGTCCCGCTGTGGACGTTGAGCACACTACATCCGGCCCCGGAAGCCCGTGCGCATGCGCAAGCAGAATGACATCCGCCTTGAGAGGGCGTCTTACCGTAGTACGTCTTCAAAGCTGGGCCTCTCACGGTAATAGGGGAGATAAATGCAAATCGATTTTTTATGTGAACTTTCAATGAAAGAGAACAGCTGTATTTGTTCTTGGTTTGTTGAATAATTTAGACGTTCAAAACTTGCGTTCAAAATGTCCTAATACTTTATACAAATTGACCTCAAGATTGTATCCAAATGTCCTCTTCACAAAATGTACGTAACTAGTTGTTTAATTGGGTTACACGCATTGTTGGCTATGTAGATCTAAATTCTATAGCTTGTTTGAGAAAACTATAGCCATCTCCCAGCTATAGCCATCTCCCTATAGTCATCTCCCTATAGCCATCTCCCAGCTATAGCCATCTCCCAGATAAAGCCATCTCCCAGCTATAGCCATCTCCGAGCTATAGTCATCTCCCTATAGCCATCTCCCAGCTATAACCATCTCCCAGCTATAACCATCTCCCAGCTATAACCATCTCCCAGCTATAGCCATCTCCCTATAGCCATCTCCCAGCTATAGCCATCTCCCAGCTATAGCCATCTCCCAGCTATAGCCATCTCCCTATAGTCATCTCCCAGCTATAGCCATCTCCCTATAGCCATCTCCCAGCTATAACCATCTCCCAGCTATAACCATCTCCCAGCTATAGCCATCTCCCTATAGCCATCTCCCAGCTATAGCCATCTCCCAGCTATAACCATCTCCCAGCTATAGCCATCTCCCAGCTATAGCCATCTCCCAGCTATAGCCATCTCCCAGCTATAGCCATCTCCCAGCTATAACCATCTCCCAGCTATAGCCATCTCCCAGCTATAGCCATCTCCCAGCTATAGCCATCTCCCAGCTATAGCCATCTCCCAGCTATAGCCATCTCCCAGCTATAGCCATCTCCCAGCTATAGCCATCTCCCTATAGTCATCTCCCAGCTAAAGCCATCTCCCAGCTATAGCCATCTCCCAGCTATATCCATCTCCCAGCTATAGCCATCTCCCTATAGCCATCTCCCAGCTATAACCATCTCCCAGCTATAGCCATCTCCCAGCTATAACCATCTCCCAGCTATAGCCATCTCCCTATAGCCATCTCCCAGCTATAGCCATCTCCCAGCTATAACCATCTCCCAGCTATAACCATCTCCCAGCTATATCTATCTCCCTATAGCCATCTTCCAGCTATAGCCATCTCCCAGCTATAACCATCTCCCAGCTATAGCCATCTCCCAGCTATAGCCATCTCCCAGCTATAACCATCTCCCAGCTATAGCCATCGCCCAATAGACATCTCCCAGCTATAGCCATCTCCCAGCTATACCCATCTCACAGCTATAACCATCTCCCAGCTATAGCATCTCACAGCTTAAGCTAACTCACAGCCAACGAGTTTGTTTCAGAATTTGGCGTTTTCACTTGGAAATATTTTTTTTCTTGGTTGATGGGTGGGGGGGGGGGGGGGGAGATAGATAATTTCTGTGTGTTTGTGTGTGCGTAGGGAGGGGGGTGAGATAGATCATTTCTATGTGTGTGGGGTGGGGTGGGGTTGATCTGATATTGTAAAATATGAGAACCATCGACCCGAGCCGTCAAAGACTTTTTGGGCCCGGCTAGACTCAAGAAAGTCGGCAGAAGATAAGGCGTCATGGATTTTTTTGGTCGAAACGTCTCCTATGTAAGCCATTCTCTGGCTTTGTTGCGTCACTCACACTTGCTGGGATAAAAGCCATTTTTATTGGACCCTAAATAAGGGACACTTTTCTTACTTTTCGTTATTAGAAAATGTGTCGATAGCCGTACAAATTTGTCGAGTGTCGGAAAATGTGTCGAGTGCCGGAAAATGTGTCGAGTGTCGGAAAATGTGTCGAGTGTCGGAAAATGTGTCAAGTATATCCTGCTGTTTTTGGTCAGTGCAGGTAAAATAGTTGGCTCCTATTTGTGCTGGTAAAACAGTTGGCTCCTATTTGTGCTGGTAAAATAGTTGGCTCCTATTTGTGCTGGTAAAATAGTTGGCTCCTATTTGTGTTGGTAAAATAGTTGGCTCCTATTTGTGCTGGTAAAA